AGAATGACAATTTTAATTAGGCCCACATTACTTGTGGCCTTAGTCTAGCCTAACCAACACTCTTACAGCGTCATTAGAATGGTTTATTTCACATAATATCTTTAGTTTTTACAGTTTGATTGGTTCAAACCCTTGAGTCCTTTAGAAAATTCATTAAGTATTGTATGTTTTAACTCCCAAATTTAAAATTCATTCAAGTGATTATACTAGAACGAGTTGGGTAGGGAAAAATGAGAATAGGTCGAAGCAGTAAGAAATATTTTAATTATTAATAATTTAACAATAGATATGACATTAAATAGTACAGAATGATAAAATGGGATTCGGGTAAAACCCCATATAATGGGATAAAATTTTGATGGCGATGAAGCGGCTCTGCTAAATGGGTTGCTCAGGGAGATTCCCTAGATGACCCATAATTCTTCCATGTGGAATTTTGGTTGGGAGTCCAAACTTAAATGGCCCATATGCCTGTATGAGTGTTTCCTCATGCTGACCAGTGAGACGATTCCACATCAGAGGATCGGTGGCCCATGTCAGGTTGAGAAGCAAACTTGATCGTAAACTAGAAACAGAGTCTCCATCAATGTTGGAGTCTCATCTAACCTATATGACTCTTCAAATCTTGATGAGGATTCTGTTTCTTGTTCAGAGCAATATTTCTTTCTTAATCTGAGGTTGATGTGTGATCATCTCATTAGTTGTTATGAAATAACACTCATACAGATATATGGGCCAAAGGGAACTTCCATGTGTGGGTCTTATGGGTTTTGTTCACCAATATGTGGGACTGCAAACAGTATCCTTTTGTCTGAATTCTAATTTGAATCTGATCCAGTTAAGGATGATCTGTATTTCATCCATTCATAATTGGATTTGAATACAAATCCATAACAATCTGATCCAATATAATATTCAAATATGTGTGCTTATATCTGCATAAAGTTTCTTTTGTATCTTTTTGGTATAATTGGTTTAAAGTTGTCTATTTAATTAAGAGTGCTAGGTTTGAATGTTTAAAATCTTATATTTTGTATCATTGTGTATGCATTTATATTGTATATATTTGTATTTGCACTCCTTCCAAACTGAGTCAAAAACCAATTTTCAATTCATTTTATCCAAAACACATAATATAGAATTCATTTGTAGTTTATTTTATCAATGATATATATTATTTTGATCATTTTTAATTAGTTTAATTTATTAATGAAATTTAATATCTAAAATCAATTAAAATTCAATCCAATTGTGATCTAAATATGATGGATAAAATTTAATCAAATCCAAATATTAACAAATCAAATTTAGATTTAAGAATATCGAATTTGATTGGATCTGTTTGCAGCCCTAGCCTATGGTCATATGAACTCTAAAGTTCTGCGAGTTTCCAAAAATCACTGGTTGGGTGGATTCACAATCTCTTTGGGGCAAGTTATTTTATATAATTAAAGCTTTCAATTGTTAATATTCATGATCGAACATGGTAGCTGGTAGGGGGATTGAATGCATGGCCAACCAAGAGGACCTCACATATAGTGCCCCTTTTGGATCTATTATCTTTTCCAAGCTGGCGGAAATGTGATCGGACCTGCTCCTCACAAGCACTCTTAAGCTGGAACATCTTCTGTATTTGTATGTTATCACTCATGAAGAGATATTCTTAATGCACAAATACAACGAATTCTGTGATTGGGTATAATTGAACGTTTTAGCTGTACAGTGGGCTGTGGAACCAATGATAAGGTTTTACGTTAGTATTTAAATACATGGGGCCTACATCTTTTATAATGGCGCCATGAATTTATTACTGATGTGAAACTTCATCATTGATTCCACTGCTAATCAGCTAAAGCGTCCAGCTAATCCGAATTCATGATTGGTGTGAGTGAGAAATAAATCCGGATTTGGGGAAAATATGGTTGGTCTTGTGGTTGGGAAACTCCCTATTTAATAGGGATGAAACTCGGTAGGGGTGTTCATAGTTTGGTTAAAACCGAACTGTGGCTTTTTTTTAACTGAACTAACTTGTTCGGTTTTTAAAAAATCTGAACCAAAATTGAACCGATGCAACCGGTGGACTGGTTAACTGTGGTTCGGTTTTTTATACACTCAAAATAAAAAAAAAGGATGAGAGAGAAAGAGAGGTGGCAGTCCTGGCAGAGTTGAAGCGGCAACCGACGTCTTGGTTGGTTTCTAATATAGCTGGGACTGGCTAAGTTGACTTAGTGCTTACTGGTTAAGTGGCAACCAACGTTGCTGTGTAATATATAATATATATTGATCGGTTCAATTAACTGCAAGTTTTTTTAAAAGGTTAACCCAAATTGAACAGGAATTTTTGGGTTTTTAAGAATATCAAACTAAAACCAAACTGACTGATTCGATTAACCGATTTTTTGGTTCGGCTTCAATTAGTTTTTTCGGTTAATTCAATTATTCAATTTTTTTTTTTGCTCATCTCTGGGTCGTGTTTGTGTTGAACAAAATCCGTGAAATCTTAAATGGGACCGAGCTTGTACCCCTACCACTTAACCAAGACTGGTGAACCTTCTTACTTGATACAATTCTATTGTTTGGAAGCCTAGTGGATTCATGCAGAAATATTTTCTTTCTCCTCTATAAATGAGAGAGAGAGAGGATTACCCTTTTAGTAATTGAATCAAGGGTCGCTCTTGCTTTGTCTCAAAAGAATAAAGATTCATCAGAAAGCTATTAATTGCTTGTCTGAAGGTTTGCTTCCACTGTTGGAAACGTGAGAGACGACTACAGTCTACAGAGCTATTGTCGAATCGTTATTAGGATTTAGGGTACTAGCATGATTGCATTCAGGTCGCAACTGGTGCACTGTAGCAGAAACTTTGGGACTGGAGAACAGTTTTGCTTTTCTGCCGCATCCACTGATGCGTAACTTACGTATTGATCACTCTATTTATGACTCACTTCTATTCACCTTGTTGGTTCATCTTCATCATTCATGGTTCATGGTTGGGTTGGGAATCCCATCAGCCATGAGGCATGAGAGAGAGAGAGAGAAACAAGAGGCGTGCGTACGTGGCTGTCTGACTCTGGCGACAATCAGCCCACAGGAACAGGATGATAGGAAGGAAACATCCTTATCTTGTCTCAGTTGCTATTACTCGCTTCTGGCTTGGCACGTTTGCCGCGTAACTTGCTACGTTAACCTTGCTAGTTATTTTATTAAGCAATCGTGACTCGTGACTCGTGAGTCGTGACCCAAGTACAAACCCAAATACGAAAGCGGTTCAATTTCTTGCAAAGTGTGTTAAGTGGCTTCCTCAAATCCTTTGGATTTGAAACAATATCTGTAACATAAACTCATTCAATTTTGCCGCTTCTACACCCCGGCCCGGCCGTTTTGTTGTTGTTGCACTTATTTTCCTCTTGCTTAATTTGCAGTTCAAATTTTATTTGCTTAATTTGATGTAAATGCATGTATGTATTGGTTGAGTGTAAAATCTGGTCTATTTTTGCTTTACATTTGGTTTTTCTTTTCTTGTTTTTTTTTTTTTTGTGGGTGAGAAATAAAATTTGCATTTGGATGTGGTTCCCACCTTATATGAAAGAGAGTGGGGATAGGAGAATGGTTATTTGTTTGTAGGAAGCAAAATAATGCCATGGCCTCCTTAATTACATGGGAGAGTAACTGAAGTAAAAGGATGTAAACTTTGCATCAGTTTTTGAGATGCAAAATTTGCATTTGTAAATGAATATAAAATAAAAAAAAAATATAAATTTTGCATCACATAAGAGTGTAAACCATAATTATAAATAAATAAATGTAAAACTGAACCTGGTGTCAAATTTTTATTCAGTTCAGATTTGCACTTCAGATCCTTTGAAAACAACAATGGGATTAGTAAGTCTGATAATATTAGATATAACCATTGAAAAGTGAAGAAAGAAGAGGTATTTTATATTGTATTAGAATCTATGGTGTTGACGTGGAGCCGCTTTCATGGTGTCTATAAAGTTGTTCTTAAGTAGTGGATGATACATATCGCATAAGAGAGGGTAAGTGCTGTATATATATCTGACCTAATTAGTGGGTTAGTGACAGGGTGTATGAGGGCCTACTGACATGACATGGTATGGAGAGAGACAGAGAAAAAAGAAAGAAAGAAAGAAAAAACTTTGTCCGTCCATATTTGACAACTTGTGCTGTCCATAGGCTCCCTCATGTATTAGTAATCCATACAGTCATACCAACAGCACTGTTAGTGTGACATGAAATTCATGTGACATAGGGAGGACTCCATGAACAACAGTACTGTTTGCTTGCCAAATGTAGAGAAACCAAATTTTCTTTGTCAAGAGCTTGAACCCATTGTTGCCTTTATAACAAAGGGTTGAACATATAACTTCATGATTTTTATGTTTTTGATTGGAGAATTGTGATAATTTAATATAGATTAATAATTTCAAATCTTTCTTTTTTTTCACTTTTGTACTAAAATTAATCAATAATTACATCAAACGAACAAAAAATGCAACCCAGTGCATGAGGCTCCCGCTAATACATAACCATGAAGTTGAGTTTAGGTTTATTAATCAAATAGTATCAGCATTTGATAGATTTTATAAGATTTTTACGAGTATGGGAGAAAGGTCAGGAACCGAATCCGACTGGATTGGGTTAGGGTTAAGATCGCGGGTTCAAACCCTTTTGTTAGGTTTGAGTCTCAGGCTTGTGTAGCTCATTTTTTTTCATAAAAAAAATCACGACATGACTTGCACCCGTATGTATACACATTTTTGCCTTCAACTTGCATTTATTAAAATTAAAGAACACCCATTTCCTTGAATTATGATAAATTTCTCTAATTCCCCCCCTTTTTTTTAAGAAAGTCTGTTTGGTGAAAAAGTAAATCCGAGCCATCGATTCTCTTCTTTCTATATCATTTTTTCATCGTTCCGAGAATCTCTCTCTCTCTCCTGCTATTTTATCTTATGCCATCGATAAATCCGAGCCAATGCTATAATGACATTTGAAATTCTGGGTATTGTTACTATTTATAATATCACGGGGTCACTACTATTACATTCTCTTTCTGTGGGTACAAGCAAGGTGGAAGGGAGAGAGACAGAGGCGGAGAGATTGCCGTCCATCTGGCCATGGCCGGCGAAGACGTCCCTCGCATGGGTCAGGCTCTGTTGGACCTAGTTCATGACGTTGGGCGGATCAATGGCTTTGGAGATACTTTCAGGAGAGAATGCTCTTATCTTTCCCGGAGGATTTCACTTCTATCGTTTTTGTTCGAGGAGATTAGGGATTTCCAGGGAATTCATGGGCATTCCTTTTCTTCCACATCTGCGCCGTCCTCATCTTGCCTGAAGAATCTTCTGATCACCCTCAAGGACGCTAAACGGCTAATTTCGCTTGCAGCAAATTACGATCCCAAGATTCCTCATGTAAGTCTGTTACTCAGAATGCAATTTGGTTTGTTGAAATAATTTGTATCAGAATCTGCACAACGTATTCTTTCTTCATGGGCATTAGCAGAGAAACTTAGCTACTCTATGAATTTTCAGATTCATTTTAGTTCCCTGTTGTGTTGGTTGATCTGCTATTTTGAAATCATAGAAATACTCTTTTCATCCTGAACCGTCTAATTCTCTTACAAAAGAAGGATCTCCAGTGTGCTGGTGCAGGCCACAGGCCACATGTTAGACACAATGTTTCTCAGAATAGATTGTTTTTTATGAGGTTCACTTGAAACATGCCGCCAAAGTTTCTTTTCACGTTTAAGATTTTCTTAGCAGTGCATAACTGTCTACCAAATTGAACAGGTAGTCTTTCTTAGTTATACTCCGACATCTGATCAATGGAAAGCAAGAATGCTCCATCTTGTTTACATTACTTTGAATTCCTGGGAATGGCTATAAGGTCATGGATCATTAAACCTTGGGTCGAAGAAGATTTAGTTGTTTGTTCATTTTTGTTTTCAGTAGAAAACATGAAGCATGCGACAACTTCATCTCTGTTGCAAACACGCATTACCACTCATTTTCCTTCCTCTCACATAACCATTCAGAAAACCTTCAATATCCTTGATGAAATCATAACCTCCAAAATAAATTAATGTCATTGTTGTTAAATCCCAAAACTGGGCATTGTTGGATTGGAAAATTTTGGAACTTTTACTAACAAGACCTTGAGTCTAAAATTTGAATGTTCTCGTATCTTCATATTGATTCTGGTAGATGAATCCTTTTGAGTTATAATTTGACATTCCTAGAACTTTATTTCTATTCAAGATTTTTTCCAACAAGCCAAGCCCCCCTCCCCCCCCCCCATAAACACCCTTAAGTTTTTAAACTTTCGTCGCAATTGTTGCTCTCGACTTTAACATGTAAATTTGAGGTCAGTCCTCCAAAATAGCTGAACTGATTCTGTAGTTTATGTAGCATGTTGTTTACTTTAAATAGTGATTCCATCTAACCAGAGCCCTTGTTCTCCAATTGTTGAAACTTAAAAGATGTCCATCATGATCTTTTTGATTTTATGTTTATATCTTCAAGAACTTTTTGTTTCATGTCTAAACCTTTGTTGTTGCTGCTTGAATCAGGATGCAGATGCCAAGAAAATCTCCCTGAAATTCCAATGTATAACATGGCAATTGGAGAAAGCATTGGAGGATATACCATTTGATCATTTTGACATATCAGACGAGGTTCGTGAACAGGTAAGAATTGAGAAGTATATGGTTCTCTTGCAGTCTTGTGTTGTCTGCATTTTCTCCTAATTCATTCTCTTGGGTTAGGTTGAATTGGTACAGTCGCAAATGAGAAGAGCAAGAGAAAGAGATGGGTCTCTAAATTCAAGAGCATTGTCTCCTGCCTTATCCAAGCCACTTGACAAAGAAGTTGATGTGCCAGTATTGGGCAATAGGGCAAATGGAAGATTGCATATTGAAAAAATGGGTAATGTCAAATTTGAAAGCCAAGCAATGGGGAATATTGTTCCAAAAGTTAATGGCAAGAGAGACCCTAACATGGAACAGATGAAACATGAATTGGAACGGCCAAAGGGCTTCTCAATATCATCTAACACCTCCAAATTAAATGGAACTGATTTTAGCAAGGCACATAACTTAGATATTAAGGGCTCAGAGGAAATTAAGAAGCAGGACCCTGTCATAGTTCCTGATGACTTCCGCTGCCCTATATCCCTTGAGATGATGAGGGATCCTGTTATTGTGGCAACTGGACAGGTAAACATTTTTGTGCTTTCATACACCATATGCTTATTGTGTGACCAAGCTTTTCTGAAGAATTTTAGAAACTTGATTTAATTCTTCATACTTGCTTTTCTAAATTATCTCCATCTCGATTCTGCAGACTTATGAGAGGTCTTGTATACAAAGATGGATAGATAGTGGGCATAAAACATGTCCTAAGACTCAGCAGATTCTTCAAAATTCCACACTAACTCCAAATTATGTTTTGAGAAGCATAATAGCACAATGGTGTTCAGCAAACAATATCGAGTACCCAATGGGATCAACAAATGGGAAGATTAGAAAGAGTGATGGAACATTTCATGATATTAGTGAGGAAAAAGCAATCATTGATGCTCTGGTCCACAAGCTCTTGAGTCGGTCCATTGAGGATCAGAGAAGTGCTGCCACTGAAATCCGATCCCTTTCAAAGAGAAGCACTGACAATAGGATGCTGATAGCTGAAGCTGGTGCTATTCCAGTTCTGGTCAACCTGTTAACCACAGAAGATGTGAAAACACAAGAAAATGTTGTCACTTGTATTCTCAACCTCTCTATATATGAGAATAACAAGGAACTCATAATGCTTGCTGGTGCCATTCCTTCAATTGTCCAAGTCCTCAGAGTGGGAAGCATGGAAGCTAGGGAGAATGCAGCAGCAACCCTTTTTAGTTTGTCACTTACAGATGAGAACAAGATAATTATTGGGTCCTCTGGAGCAATACCAGCCTTGGTAGAGTTGCTTCTAAATGGAAGCTCAAGAGGCAAGAAAGATGCTGCAACAGCACTGTTCAACTTGTGCATATATCGGGGGAACAAAGGTCGTGCGGTGAGGGCAGGGATTCTTGTACCATTGATGAAGATGCTCACAGACTCGAGCAGCTGCATGATTGATGAAGCTCTGACAATCCTATCAGTTCTTGTAAGTCATCCAGAGGGTAAGGTTGCCATAGGAAAGGCCAACACCATCACTGTTCTATTAGATATATTAACAACAGGTATGCCACGCAACAAGGAGAATGCAGCTGCCATCTTACTTGCCTTATGCAAGAAAAATGCTGAGAACCTTGTCCATGTAGGAAGGCTTGGTGCTGATGTTCCACTTACCGTTCTGGCAAAGAGTGGCACAGAAAGGGCAAAACGCAAGGCTTCTTCACTATTGGAACTTCTTCATAAGATACGGCAGTTTTGAGTGTGCAGTAGTATTGGTCGGAAGGATTTGATTTATTCCTTGCTTCCTGTCATGACAATGAAATTTTATACCTTATTCTTTTTTGTGATAAACGAAGATAGGAACATCAGAACATGAGAAGAGAATTCGCTCATGGTTCTGTGTACTCCTTTTTCTTGTAGTGGGGTATAGGAAGTCCAGTTGTCTCTGTAATTACCTCATCCAGTAGATAAGAACTTTTTTTTATGTTTTCCTTTTTTCTTTTACCAAAAGCTGGTCCATTATGGAGCAACCCTTATTGTTGTTGAATAATAATTGAACAATGCTGACACAAGCAGAGAGATCCCTTCTTAAATATTAACCAATGTTTAGTGCAGGTGTTGCTATTTGTTTGAGAGATGGATCAAATGCCAAACATTAACTGTTCTGTCAGGTAAACCTTGGTCAATCTTGTTGCCAGTCTTTTTCCAGTGATCCAGTTGATTTAGAAATGAAACCAAGCTAAAACTTTTTCTTTTATTTTTTTTTTTTTGGAAAAAGATAAGATAATATTGTTCAAGAATTTTAACTAAAGATACAACAAGCATGCAGGAGCAGGCTCCCACACACAAGAGCCAAGGCCCCTCATACAACAAGATACAAGATATATCAGATGCTCAACAAGTTTACATTTTGCAAAAAGCTGTCCCCTGGTCCCCAGACTGAAGAGAAAACTCCTTAGAGGCAGAAAACCAGACCCTAATTTGCCCACAGACAAGCTAAGAAGTTCATCCTCTGCCTTCTCAAATTGTGGGACACCCTCCTATTTCTGTCAGCGCACAAGGTCCACTCAAAAAGATATAGTTCATATACTTTACCTTCCATATACTAGTTAAAAGTATAAACAACAATTCATAACCTATATGGTGAATCCAAATGCAGTGGAATATGATGCTTTCTAGAGCACTGGCATTTTTTCCAAAACCACAGAAAACCTACTCTTCTATAAAACAAAACCACTCCCAACTATAGAACTAGATGATTTATTTTAATTTCAAACCTATATCTCAGAAGTATTCCTTCTCAATGCAGAAACATCCTAGTTCTGGAAAGCCTCAGGTTCATCAGTGGATTCATTGCACTGTTGACGTGGTGTGGCACCTGTTAGATTTTGTCCAATGGCATCACCAATCATGGTTTCACCATGTCTGCTGTTGATTGAAATCTTCTGCTGAACCCTTTGCTAAACCTGCTAGATTTCAAAGCTCATTGACTTCTCTGCCATAAAAGATTACCAAATTATGAATTGCATAATTGTCACCACAAATAACAATTGTGTGTAGAATCACCGTCTTTTTGCCACCCACAAATAACACTTTCAAGAACAACAGTACAGAGTGAAGTCAATGAAATCGACTCTGCATTTAAACAGGAATTATCTTACCCACACAGACACCATACTCTGATTGCTCTATTCAAATAACAAAACCAATCTAATTATAAATTGGATTAATTTATAATGCTATTATTTTCAATGCATAAAACATGTACTTCCGGAAAGTATTGGAAGTCAGAAGGAAACCTCTGTTAAAAGAAGTATCAACACAAACATTTCTATCATAAATAATTTCTTAATTATTAATTGCACTACCAGTATTGGTGGGAGCCCCTGACTGGGCGCCCTTTAGCATTCACTAGAGAATAAGGCACTTCTGACTCTGAAACACCCTTAAATAATTGATATAGTGGATAAGCTCTAAGCATGTATGAAGCTTGAGTTATGGATATATTTAATAAAATTCTTGACAGATTAATTCATAATTTAAATTATGTGCCTCAGGTAGAAAATAATCCTGTACAGAAATGTTTTGAACAAATCTTTCATATTCCTTGATATGGCACTACCATGGTTCTCTCATTCCATGGGCATTTTGACATTCACTTATAGTTGTAGTACCTTTTTTAATGTACAATCAGTAGGTTCCAACTTGATCCCACCAACACTATTCTTATTCCATCCATGGTTATTGTAAGCCCATTAGTATCTCACTTTCTAACATTTTACTGTCTTTCAATTTCCCCAAGTTTGTGATGGTTTAGATCAATTGATAATGGGAATGAGAAGAATGAAACAAAGAAACATGCACCGGCTAAACTTTCATCAGTAATATCAGCATTCTAATGGCATTAAATATTCTAGAAAAGAGAAGGCTTTGGTTGGATAGTCACCTTGTGAGTAGTAATTAACAAGATGCTTAAAAACTAAAAGAAACATCACTCATAAGATAAATTACACTATTGGATTGTCAAAAAGAAGAGATAATAGAGAAAAGGTCATCACCATCATCATCATTATCATCATCATCATCATATCCACTGTTAAATTATTAGTGCTTAAATCATTTCTTACTACTTCTGCCCATGTCCTTTTTGGTCTACCCTTATCTCTTCTAGCCCCTTCCACTCATAGCAAATTTCTGGGTTTGTCTTTCTGTTTTTTCTCTTGTTTGTTTTCAAGGGTAGCCGAGGCTACTCTCCTTTGTGAATTTCTTCTATTGCAATAAAGCTTTCTCTGATTTTACTGATAAAAAAAAGACTCTTTAAGATAAATTACACCATCACATATAACATTCTTCAAAAACAGGGACAGCCAACCTTGAGACTCCTATACTTTGGAACCGACTACCTTGAGTTACCATAAAAGGATTTGATTTGTTATTTTCTACCTATTATGGCAGTGGTCTTGTATTGTTTTTCAGGTGTGAAAGATGAAAATATAGACATGAAAAGATGAAATTGTTCTCATTAATTTATCTTTATTTAGTACCTGTCTCTAAGCAATTCATTTGTGTCTAATAATTCTGCTTGCCATGCAGTAGGCAGTAGCTTTCTTTTTCTTTTTCCTAGTTTGATTCATTGTGGAACAGACCTCACCAGACATTGTCAAACATTAAATTCTGATACAGAGTGAGCTTCCTTATTGTTAAATATTAAATTATATTTATATTAGGTGCTATTTGTTATTCAAATGCTCCAAAGACAAATAGTTTAGCATTCTGTCAAGTAAGCACCATCTAATTTTGTCACTAGTTAATTTTGTTTCTTCTATCTTTTAACAGTAGTCTAGTTAATGAAATTCAGTTGTAGCTATATATAGGTTTCAAAAAAGGTTTTTGCTATATATAATTGGTTCGGTTGTAGCTGACCCCATATTATTTGGGATGAGGCTTGGATGATGATGGTTTCATATTGGTTGAGATTATTACCAACAGTTCATATATGTTGAATTTGAATTCAATGGAAATAGGATATTTTCTAGAATGATCTTAAATCCACAAAGACTAGTCTGCATTGAACCAAGAATTAGTTTTATCACCATGGAAATCTTTGACTGCCTCTATGCACATTTGTAAAAACTAATCTTACAATAAAACTAGATTCATATTCTAAAATGAAAAATCCATGGGTGTGTTTCACCAATGTCAGTTTTTTCTTTGCTGTGATTTCAAGAAGGTTTGGTCCCTACAATTGGTTTGAAAAATATTAGTTTCTTAAAACAAAACCATACACATGTTATTGAACTTCAACTTTCAAGAACATGTTTCCATATGAAGGTTTGATATTATGTTAGTAAAGCATACAATATTCAGATAAAGATTTTGATTAAATGGATATTAGTTAACCTCTCTTATTTTCAAACTTTTATTTACTTTGGAACCAAATCTGTTTGAATGTGGGATAGTGTAATGCATAAAAGCTTTAAAGCAGCATTTATAAGGGTGTCTATTGGAAATTACAGTGTTCTGCAATGCACTGAATAGTAGCCGCCCAATTCAGCCTTCTGGAAATGAAAGCATGTTGCTCTTTTTGTTAGTTTCAGAAACAGGGGAATTTTCCTCATTCAAACTGAAAATATTTTCATTTTGTTTTAAGAAAACACATGTTCAACCGTTCAAGAACTTATTTTCTGTTTCTTTGCTGATATTACACTTTCATAAACAAGAAAAATATTCATTGTTCAAGATAAAACTCCTCTCAAATCTCAATGCTGAGAGCTCTTAGTTCTAGAAAGTCTTGGGTTCACATGGGAAACCTCTGCTTTCATACTTCTTACTTACAAATTGCATAATCATCACTTACAAATTACAATGAAAATGATGTTTAGAGGTGATTAAGACTCCTAGGCATTGTCAATTGATACTTTCCAGGACAATGGTACAAAGTAAAGATCCCAAACACTACTAGGAGAAAAAAATATAAATTGTTTTCCCACATAGACATCTTACTCTGACTGCTTCTCTAGACAAATAACTTTACCAAATCTATCAAAAAACTGGAAATACTCAATCTGTACCCTTGAAAATGTCTTTATTAATGTAGAAAACATCCTATCTGTGTAAGGTCAGAGAGTTCACAAGTAAAACCTAGATAAAATGAAGTGTTTTTTTTTTTTTTGATGAATGTAGATAAAATGACGTGTTCATGCACAATTTTCTTAACAGTTATTATTATTTTCATTACCAGTATTAACTATGAAAAAAAAACACATTAGGCTACTTCTGACTCTTGGATAGCTGATGACCCAGTATCTGAGATTGTTACTTGGCGTCCCTCTGTATATGGAAGCACGACATCAAACCCGCATAACTGCAGGCTCTCTGGTAATGTCAGTGGATTGCCATGGCGTCACCATGACATCAGTTCATCTAATTCAAAGTGGGGCCACAACATTACATCAAAGACTTTGATGTCCTGGTTTTAGCGCACGCTAAGACCATGTTGTAGTGACAGTGGCTTGTCAATCTGGGCATCATGGGTGGAGAAAACTTTGGCTGCCCATGTTTGAAAGCCTGTTCTGTTCATAGGTTCATGACACATTAGCTCATACAACCATGCCTCCAGCAATGTTACTGTTGCATGGGGTTTGCATGGGCTAAGGAATTGCACAGGGAGAACCCTGTGGACATCATAGGCGACGAGTTAAAAGGTAGTGCTCAACACAAACTTTTCATCTGAGATATAAAGTGGGAAGGACCTAAAAACCAAAGGATACATGCTCTTTGTGTAACCAATACTAAAATGAATGGAATTAGTGGTTTAGAAGAAGGAACACTTTTTTTAAAGCTTCTAGCTGAATCGTAACATAGAACCGAGAATAGGAGTAGCCAACCTTGGGATGACAACTCAGTTGATTGACCTTTGAAAATCTGTAAAACCATTTCTCTTTGGACATCAACTCTGAAGATCCTCTATGGCATGCTCTTCCATTTGTGCCTTGTCCAACCACCTCCCTTGACTTAAATAGCTAGTTTTATTATACTATTTTGCTTGGCTTGCTCCATGTATGAAAAAGAAATAATAAAAATCTTGTATTTTAAGCCTTTGTCTAGACAAAAG